AGCTGACATGACAGAATAAGTCACATCTCGATGGTTTCAGTGCCACCCCCTCTCTCCCGGCCCCTGCCTTCCATTTTAATCACTGACAGGCCTTCAAGTATTATGGATATCCATAATCTTTTTAATATCAGTGACATTTTCCATAATGGAAAGCATCTCCTGTGTGCTGAGACACGAGGGGGATCCTGCCTGCCTGCTGATGGTCCCCATCCTGCCCCAGGCCATGGTGCTGAAGGTCCTGCCTTGGGTGGCAGGGAGAAGGCAGCGGGGAGGCTGTGTGCTTCCCGGGGCTCTGCAGATCTCATCAGCCTGATTCTCCCAACGAGCTCTGGCCGTGCATGCGGAATGTGCATCTACTCCCATCCCTTCCAGCATCCAAACCATCCTGCAGGTCAACCTGGAGAACATCCCAGATCAGGTGGTGGGAGGTGTTCTGCTTGGCTGCCCAAGACCCAGGCCTTCCTCTTCCTCTGTTCCCAATGCTCCCAGTTCATTGCAGGGCCAAGGCAGCCAGCTTGCCCCTCACCAGGCATTGATTTTTCATTAGCAGACTGAACCTCTCCCTGGGGACACAACACCCTACAGAGCTGTACAAACACGGGGTGCACGAGGTGGCCCACAACCCTGCCAGCAAGGCTCTAAAGCTGATTTCCCACAGCCCTGGCACAAGCTGCTGCTCACCCAGACCCCCTCTGCCATTGAGAAGCCTCTGGAAGCACACTGCCACTTTCTGCTTGAAGACTCCCCCTGGAATTTCCTGGAATCCTCCTTCCCAGTCTTTCTAACAGTTACTGTGTCTTCATGCCCTGACTCACGTGATGGGCTTAGTATGCAACTCCCAAGGCCAGGAAGGTCAATCACCTCAATTATTTAGCAAGCACAACACAAATTATTAACACTAATACAAATAATGCCCACGTTTGGGAGAGGAGAAGGAATACTCTCCTTGCCTGGCTACTAGGACTTGGCATTTTAAGGCCTGGAGCATCCACACATCCTTGGTCTGCAGGATGGTCTCTGCCCCAATGACAGAACCCGCATCTCAGCTCACAACCAGGCCTGTCAACAAGGGATAGGTGTTTCTAAAGGTTTTCTGTGGAAGCCAGCTCTAATTCCACTGCAGTTGCAGTCAGGTAACTTCCACAAATCAATGCAAAGGGGGGCGGGGGAAAAAAAAAAAAAAAAAAAAAAAAAGCAGTTGGCTGGGAGAAAGCTGCGGCAGCCAAACAGCAGAGCAGTGCACTTGTTGGCCCAGCACATCCCTTCCTGTGCGCTGCTTGGACCTTGTCCCTTCAGGACAATCTTGGCCAAGGCTGTAAGAGGCACTGGCAATATTTATGACCAAAAAACCAGACTATTCACAGCATTCAGGTTTGTTCTCCTTTGCAGAATTTCTTACACCACCCACCCTGTGCCACCAGGCTCCTCCTGTGGCAGGGAAGGAGAGACCAGCGCTGGACATTCTTCCATAGCACATGACTGACGTGAAACTCCCCTCTACCTGTTTTCCCATTAACAAGCTTTCCTGTGAGCAGAGGTACGTGTGGAGCCTGGTTTCTACAGGCTGGACTGGAGGCGTGGATCTTGTGAACAAGCTTTGCTATCTTGTAAGATGAGGCTTCCAAATAAAAGTATTCCTGCCTTTGAGACAATCACGTTGCCTCTATAATGTGCAGACTCCCCCTTGTCTAGAAACAGATGGCTTGAGCTGTTTGAGTTGGGCAGATTCACAAGCTGATAATCATCTCCAGGGAGGCAGGAGCTATTGTCAGAGCCTGTGAGACACACCCCAACTTCAGGCCTTTTTCCTCCTAATTCTCAAAATGTTGCTGAAATTGCCCAGGAGTGCTGGGCAGAGACATTCCCTTTGTGGGTCCATGCCCACAAAGCCAAAAGAGGTTCCTGGCTTCCAGAGAAGCCAAAGTGCTTCCCCACACCCTGCTAAGAGAAAGCATCTCGAAACATGAAGGGCCTCACCTGGCCAGCAAAACTTTGCCATGGGAGACAAGGAAAGAATATGTCCTCTCCCCAGAAACAGCACACAAGTTGAAATGAGAAAGCAAAAGAAACCCATGCTGCAGAAGGAGGAGTTACTTTACACTACGTGCGGCTCCCATGTCAAAGAGCACGTGCCTGAGGCACACACGCCTGGTGCAACGGCGCAGCGACGTACGGAATCTGCAACGGCGACACTCGGCGCGGATATGCATCTGCTGCCTAAGAACTCTGAAGGTATCACAAACCTCAATGAATAATCTACACTGATGTCATTTCTCTACAGGGCCAAAGCCCCTCCGGGGAACGCTGTCCAGCTGCTTTAGCAGGAAGGCAGCACTTTACTCACGTACGCCAGGTCTCTTTTGATGCCTGCTCAAGAGACACCCTCCCTTGGAAACTTGTTCCGACCCAAGCCCAGCTGCAGAGCATGCGACACTCAGAGTTGGGATGCTTCCACAAAAAACTCCATTCCAGCCACGAGGCAAAAGGAAACCCAGACAGAAAGCGGTGATCAGCCCAGACACACACGCAGGCTGACAGCGTCACGATGGGTGGCTCTAACACGAGGCCCAACCATGCTCTCAGCATTTATGGCATGAATTTCACTCATTTTAATTCAAGAGTGATTAGTCTTGGAAGGAAGCAAGTAAGAGCTGGCTCAGAATGGGGCATGGGCACATTGAGCTGCATGGAAAGAATTGGCAAGATCAGCATAAGAAATAAACTCACGTGTGCAAAACCAGGCAGGGTGGCACAGCACTTGGGCCAGTGCCTTCTCACCTCAGAGAACCTCAAGAGGAGACTGGACAAGCAGTCAAGAATACCATCAAAAATAGGATGGATTCTTCTTAGTTACTGTCATGGTACTTGGTCTTATGAGTACAAGGGACACTCTCTGCTCACTCACCTGCTAGCCAAGCAAGATCGAGAAACAAAGAATAAGACATATCTCATGTTGACTGGCACTTTTAAATTCACCTTCCTTAGCAGAAATGCCAGTATTTTCTAGTCTGAACAGTTTCTGAGGCAGTGATATTTCTTGGCTTGTCTCTTTTTGGCAAGAGATCATCTGTAGAAGTAACAGATGATCTAGCAGCAGTCTTGCATCACAGCATGGCAGAAAAGAGGCATCCCACTATTTGTAATCGCTGCATCACTTCAGAAAGAAGAAGAATCTACACTTGATCTGTTTAAATGCGGTTATATTTTTTATTTTTTTTTAAATTAAGTTTGTTTCCAGTTACAAAGGGCTTCACTCTCCCACTTAAGAGCACCTTATTCCTTGAGGTCCTCAAACAAAACAACCATTCTGTTCACCATGGATTTCAGCAGCCCATAAACCTGCAGCAGAAATTAAGAGAAGATAGTTGCAGTGAAAACACATTAAGAAATCCTGATGACAAGACCAACAGACAGAGAGATGGTTCCTCATGCAGGAGCACATTAATGTACGGGCACGCACACAACCACATGAAAGTGGCTGCCTGCTAACAGAGCCTAGCTCTAGTAATAACATTTCTGCCTATGAAGTGTGTTTAACATTATCTGAGATACAATTAATTCTTCTGATCCCTCAAGAGTCCGCAAGCATGCTAAAGACATCCCAGATAGAAATCCCGCATGTGGCTATGTGATGGCTGGATTTACCTTAACAAATTCCAGGCTGGAATAAAGAACCTCTTACTCTGTATTTCTCACCTTGCTACAGATTTGCTGACATAATCTTTGTCAGTTTTCCGAGTTTACCTCTCCACCTAAGCCTCACTGTAAGTTACAAGTAAAGAACAAAAACAAGAAACAAAGACACAAGCTCTAGTCAGACTCACTCCAATATAAAGTTTTTCCTGGTATTGCCGAAACAAAACAGGGTCCACCTGCTCCTCAGGAGATCCTGCTCTATCTGTAGTTACAGCTTCCACAGCCTCTGCTCCCTCTTCCACCTCCTGCAATGAAGTGGAAGATTTCAGCTTTTTCTCATCTTTTACCTTTCTGCTGCTTGGATGTTCCTATTCAGGGACAGACACACAAAAAAAACCCAATCAACCAACTCCCAAACAAACAAACAAAAAAACCCAACTGAACAAAAACCATTTAAAAACTGTTGCAAGATTCACCTCCCAGAAGCAGCACCTCTTTCACCGGATTGGAAATCAGCTCAAACTCAGGATACAGAACCTCAGAATGGACCAAGCTGTCCCAGCACTTGGGTTTCAGCAGGCATCCCAATACACACCTTTTTCTCTTTCCTTTTTCTTTCCCTGCTGTCTCTGTTGTTCTTTTTTCACCTTCTTCATCCTTAACACTCGATGACCTCTCTTCTTTCCTAATGGTGATTCTGTCTCCTTTTCCTTCTTTTATCGGCTGCGTTACTTCCCCTACAAAAGAAAGAATGTCAGTTACCCCAAAGCCATAATTGGCATCCAGCAAGACAAGCCCACTGCACTCACGCAGTGGAAGTGTATTACTTTTGCAATGTCTTTTCCTCTTTTTATTAATCTGAGCTGTACTGCACTGCAAAACAATACCTTGAAGAGCACTTTGTCTAACTAAGGAATGAACAGGTCTCAGGCGCGTATGGGAACAAGCCTGTAAAACAGCTAATAGTGAGACAGGGTTTTCTGGGTTAGTCTGTGTGAAAGCCATGGCTACATCTGGCTAAATTAAAAGGCTTATTTGTGTGGTGGTTTTTTTAATGACACTAAACCACAGATCACAATTAGTATCGTATATTCTGCCAATTTTTCTGATGCATTTTGTTATAAAAGCTTTGAGGGGAAAGGGCTCAAGTTGCCATTTCAGTTGCAATTTAGCACATTTTATGGATTTCCAACGCTCCACAGAAACTGGTTGCTGGGCTAAAACTTCCATTTACCTGTTTCCTCTGGAACATCATCTGCATAGGTGTTATTCTCAGGCAAGCCGAGCAGGGATCTCAGCCTCATGGAGTGACTCACCATATTATCAATTGTTTCACGCCACAGCTGGAGACTGAGAAAAGAATCAGAATCAGAAGGGAGACAAGTACAGCAACAGCCACCTTGTTCTACCCTGTGCCCAGGAGCGCAGGCACTCGACAGCTGAGAGCTGTCCTGTCCAACTACACCAATAAAATAGCACCCACCACCTAAAAATCTGTGCAGAGGGATGCTAAGTTACTTTCCTCACATTTCAGCCCTCTGAGGTCTCAGTGGTTTGCAAACCAATGGGCTCATATGGACCCATAAATATTACTGTGAAACTAGAGCTCCTGCTCTTCAACATGAGCCATGTTGGTTAAATCAGCATCGACCTGCTCTCTGTGTTTACCCAGAGGAACCTGCACCCTTCTAATTGAGATGTAACTAGGAGCTGTTGATTTGTTTACAGTCTGAGAGCCTGAGTAAAGAACAGAGAGACTGTATGATGAAGGATAGAGTTATCTGAGTAAAAAGGTACAGGAAATTACCCAAAGGTTTCATAAACACAGACTAGAACAACATTGCCAGAAATTATCTTGTATAGTCCCCAAAATTACATTAATTTCATATTCTAAACTTATCTCCATAGGAAAAAAAAAAGGAATTTGGGTCCTAGACAGCTGCTACAATTAATCTGTAAAAGAGTGTAAGGATGCCTTCTAGACCTCATATAATTATCTGCTCTCTGAATCACAAAGCTTGCAACAGAGCTGACTGAGGCTGCTGATCACACGATGCATTTACAAGCTTTATCTTGCAAAGGTAACGCACCAGATGCGATAGGAAAGGGTTGAATGGTCTGACTGAGTTGGCCTCGGTTCAACAAGCAGCTCCAGCGCTGCCTTATTGAGCTGGGCCAGTGCTTCTTCTCGCTGCTCCTCCCTGGGGATCGACTTTATAGCCTGATGTGAGAAAAAACACAGGGTCCATGGAGTGAGCAATTCTTCTCAGTCCCCATTCCCAGTCCGTGGACCCTGAGCTCAATGGAGCGCACCACGGCTCTCTTCCTGGACACCAGCCTGAAACCAGGTTGCACTGGGCACTCAGGCACCCTGCTGCGCCCTCCTATACGCCTGGGATTTAGCAACCCTAGATCTGGGGAGCAATCCCAGACCTCCCCAGTTAGATTCACACTAAGCCCCTCTGCAACATCACAGGTGTGCTGGAGAACAGGGATTCCAGTGACCTAGAAGGCCCCAAACTAAAGATTACTTATAAAAGCAGCAGAGAGGCTTCCAAGAGAGCACTACAGGAAAAGTGTGCTGACAGAACCCAAACCACTCTTGCTTTAATCTAGGGAGGTCTGTACTTCATCCGCAGCCTGTTCTGACCACCCCCCTCAGTGCTCTGATGAATAGGAAGGACTCTCCGAGGAGCCAAGCCCTTGGGGAAGCCACAGGAGGCTGTAGGATTAGCCTGCCCCCCTCCTTCAGTCCTGGGATGATAGAAAGCTAATGGGGGAAGAGCTTAAAATATCTATGACATTGTGTGGTTCTCTTTTCTTCTTCACACAACAGCCCTTAAAGTCCCTCTTGGGAATCTCTTTACAAGAGCAATGAGGGTGTGGTCAGCAGAGCTGAAGTGCTTTCCTGCCACACACATCATAAATCGTCTCTAACCCACAGCACACTGGAAGCAGAGCTTTGGGTGGGCTCACACTGGGGTAGGCCAGGCTGCTTGTAGGGGAATGAAAACACCATCAGCTTGTTATAGCACTAAGGGGAACAGGGGGGATCACCTGCTTAAAGTCCACCAAGGAAAGGTTCCATCCTGAGGGGCCTAGGTCTTCCTCCTTCACAATCACTGTTTGACTTGGAGCCTCCTCTAGTGTGTTCTTCCGACCTGGGACCTCTGTGGTGCTGCTCTGAGCAGAGAGAGCCTCTGAGGCACTCTCCTGGCACTGGGTGTCCTCTGCAGTGCTCTTCAGGCCCGAGGGCACTTTCTCCTCAAAGGCTGAAGGAACAGTCATGTGCTGTCTCCATAGGTCATGCAGCTGCTTTACCACTCCATGCTGATAAAAGAACTGTGATAACGGGGAAAAGGTAAACAGTGAAATGAGCTATGCTTTTCCTCCACAAACCTCAGTGCTAAAGCTACCCTGGCAGACTATGCCAGCCTCCAGGAACCCAGGGATGAACCAGCCCCATGGGTCTTCCCCTCCCTGCCATTTCACCTCTCTAGCCATCAAATAGCAAACATTACCCCAGGATTCTTCTTCTGGAACAACTCTTCCTCTGTGATAGGGGCACCCATGGGAGACGGGGTGCACTCTGGGACCCGAAGTTCTTCCAGGTGTTTCTTCAGAATATCCTCTACTACAGCAACACGTTCTTTAGCAGCCAGGTCCATCTGAGGCACCACAATAAGAACAACATGTGTGAGCCCCTGTTCCACATATGGACACACAAACAAATTCACACCCCCGCTAGTAACCACATGTATATATATATATATAACCACATATATAACCACATTATACAGGGCTTCAAGGACAAAAATAACCACACATCCCACTAAGCAGAGCAATACTTACAACAGTTTTTCAAACAAACCCTACAAATCCCCCCATACTGTACTTTTGAAAACACAGTGTAATTTTCAGTGTATACTTAAACTGGTATCATAGCATATGACACATAATTCCATCCCCACTAAGTAACTAGTGAAATTCATTAGCAACAGAAAATTAATTCTTTAAAGGACCAACATGAAGAGTTTAAGAGACACAATCATGTCTTTATTAACAATATTACAAGAGACTGCAGAGTTCTTCCGTTTTATTTAGCAAGCTTGCTCAAGTAGGTACAGATGTTCTGTAAATAAATAGTCATCTCGCTCTCAGCCATAATCACACAGCAATAAAAATACCATGTCATCCACTCCCACCCTTATCCTCTATTTGCATATTAAGTGCAAAGCTCACAGTTACCCAGTTACATGCTTGGTTACCTCCAGTTTCTTTCTGACGTCAGCCAATTTATCCTCGTACACAGCCATTCCCCAAAAGGTCACCTGCAGCAGAGCTCCTCCTAATAACAGAGGATGTGTCCTAAATTCCCAGGATTCACTGAAAATGCCTGTTCTCTCTGACTTGAAAATAACGGAAAACTTCCTAGTTTCTCCAGGCAAAATTACACCTGAAATAAGAGAGAAAAACGCATCAGACTGAAAGAAGCCACCTGCTTAACTTGACCCTTTTCCAACCCCACCCCAAGCGTCCTTATCTCTGTTTGTTCTTTCCCCACAGCTTAGCTGGTTATCACACTTCATCCACTTATTTTTCTCCTTCCAGATTTACTCCCAGTCACCCTGTTACTGAATTGGTGTTGTTTCCACTGCATGCTCCTTTTGCAGTAAGCTCAGTACTCCCTCTGGCAGATTGTGCCCAGTTTGCCATCAGAAAATGATTCACTTGTCAATATTCCACCCATTTACGTTCAGAGTAGGAACAATCTCCTCTCCTTTAAGTTCTGTGAAAGGGATCTGCCTCACACACCTCCTTTGGCGTGAGTCAGCTCTGACGCCCAGGGTAGCTTCTAAGGAGAATCACCCAAGAGGTTTGCTCTGCCATTAAGTGAGACTCCGCATTTCAGGTAACTCCTGAACACGTGCTCTCTGGTCTATGGACAAAGGTCTCAAAGACCAGCAGCTCTCATACCTGATCTGATATCAAAGTAAAAACACGGCATCCTTATCCTCTCCGTTTGTCTGGAGGGAATCTGCAGGGGAAGCCTCATCCAGTCGTACCAGATGGCAGTTGTGCCGTCATTGCTCACCGTCAGGGACTTCTCAGCTTTCTTACCAGTCAAAGCCTCAAAGGAGAGCCGGGTAGCAATGCCAATTTCATTCTACAAGGATGAGGAAAAAACCAAAGATAACAATTTCTACTCTATCTGGTAGGATTTCTCTTGCCCCAAGTCATACCACAAGTAAGGGGTTAAGCCTTGGTAGGAGAACTTGTAAGGCAGGTCCAGTCAAGTGGCCATTACACAGAGAGCCTGGGAATCTGAGCTTCACACCACAGAGAGAGCAATCGCTTCTGGCTTTAGATCTCTCTGGAGCAAACTCAGAGATACTCTATTATGCTCAGAATCAATCCATTCTTCTCTGGCCTGGGAGTGACACACGTTGTACAGCTGTGACTTGGGAACTCAAGCAGGCTTAGCCTGACTAAACAATGAAGAGCACAAAATTACCCTGTGAGAAGTGGTGCCCTCGATCCAACGAGCAGGCTGGCCACAGAAATTCAAAGATGGACCCCGAACTGCTTCTGGAACCACATCAGGGTAGTCCTGTACGGGGTCACTGCTGAAGAAAACAAGAACCAGCATTTCCATGGAGTGAAATTCACTTTCAAAGAGGGGAGAACCAGGGCTGATTTACAAGACCCTATAAGAAGTAATCCTGACTAATGCTTTTCCACATGGTCATCTCTTTAGGGACAGAGCCCTGCAGATGGGGTCAACTTCAGCTGGCAACTTGTCACCATCAAAGAGGACAGGGCAGCCAGAACATTCAAGAACAATACCTGCCTAAGGAAGGCTGAGGGTACATGACTGAATAAGAAGATGCCCCCGGGTTGTGCCCGTTACAGATGGACAGGATGGGGAAAAAAGGGAAATCAATGATGGAAGCGGAAGGCTGGAAAAAGACAACCACATCGAGGCAAGTTAGAGTGGAATCCCCACCCTGCCTAATGTAAGCTCTGCAGCCACACAGAGGGAAGACTGGAGGAAGGGCCTCAAAAAAACCCCTTTTCTCTGGTATTTGCTCCTCAGGCACGAGGCCCCAAGGCACAAGGGAACTGCTTGTTTCCTAAATCTAGTGACTTTAATATTAGAGCATGCCTTTTATGGTGCCCCAGTGGAGAGTTCTCTGTGTCCTGGATGAGGACAGTTAAGGGTGCCCTTACAGACTGACAGTACATACCCTAAATTCTTTATTTCTGCCATGAAGTAAAACTTACAGGGTCTCAGACTCTCCTGAAGCGGAGGAACATGGAAAAGGCTGAGGCTCTTCTGCCATTGTTGAGGATGATGGTTCACGTATCTTTTCCTTCTTGTCTGAAAAACAGATGAAGAGACCTCCTCTTCAGTCCTTCCAGGAAACCTCATTTTCCTCTTTCAGCCTGCTTATTAATTTCCAGCTGAACTATGGGGAGGGCATTTCAGGTTGCACAGAACAATTAAATTCAGCATCCCTTAGAAATGGAAAGCCAAACTCTGAGAAGCTACAAGGATCAAAGTAGGTCACTAGGATTCAACTGTCTCACACTTTCTTGCAGAGGAGGGACAACAGAGGAGATAAATAAAGCCCGTGCTTCTACCCGGTAGAAGAACTCCTGGAAAGTTTCCTACTCCATATACAAGCAACACAACCCACACAGAGCAAGCCATTGGGTTGTCAGAAGCTCCTAAATCACAAAAGAGCTCTGAAATAGCGAAACCCCTGTGGGGCTGGGTACGGGGCAGTGCCCCCCGGCACAGCCCGCTGCAGCTGAGGCAAAGCCACCGGGGATTTGATCCCCCCTCACCCTGAACCCGGAGGTGGCTCCGGCTGGGACTGGCTCCTGGAGCCTGCGCCACTGCGGGGCCTTCCAGAGAAAATGAGTAATAAAGAAACAGAGAGA